TGCCAACAACTACCAATTCGATAAAAACTGTCCAAACTGAACAGCCAAATGCTGCGGGCATCGAATCGAAATCAATAACAAAGCCCACAAGCTTAGAGCCCATAACAAACAGCACTGCTACCGACACGAACACTACCGAAACTGTAATTATCATTAACAACAACAATTTGAACGCGCAAGAAATTGATGTAAGGTCAGAAACAGCTGAATCAACGCCCACGCACAAAGCTGAGAAAGCTGGCCATAGCGACATTTCAGAACGCTTCAAGGAGGTGGCCGATGAAGTTGAGAAACTGATAATGGATGATGATGTTGGCGTTGTTGCTTCTGACACCCAAGTGGATGCAATTAACAGGGATTTGTCCAGCTCTACAAGTATTGCAGGTGGCAATGGCAACAGCAGATACGGTATACCCGGCCTGCCGAGCACTGTCGTGGATCCAGGCCAATTGCAGAACCAACTCGTAGGCCAACTCCCAGAGACGGCAGCGAGTGGAATACTTGGTGGTGAATTGTCGCATAAGCCGCTGCCGTTCACTGATCAATTGGCAATGCAGCAGCATCATCATCATCATCATCATCATCAGCAGCAGCAGCAGCAGCATCATCATTTACAGCAGCATCAGCAGCATTTATCTGTGCTGCCGCCGCATGTGATGAATGCTAACCCCAACGATCTGTGGTTTTACCGGGATCCACAGTCGAATGTCCAGGGACCGTTTAGTGCCATGGAGATGACTGAGTGGTATCGGGCCGGTTACTTTAATGAAAATCTTTTTGTGCGCCGATATTCCGACAGTCGCTTCAGACCGCTAGGCGAGCTGATAAAGCTCTGTCATGGCAATATGCCGTTTACGCACAACCATCTCCTTCCTACGCCCATTGATTTGGATAATCTACAAATTACTACACTGACGCCGCGTAAGCCCTCGGCACTGGCTTTACCGCTCTCATTGAATGAACAGCAACAGCAGCATCATCTTCATCAACATCCTGGCGTCAGCATCGATGAACAATTAAAAGCGAATGTAACGGCAGCTGCGGACTCGTTAAGTGCTGCTGTAAAGGGTCATATGAGTGCGCATAGTATGGACACATCTCACATGCTCACCATGCGCTTTCAAATGCTACAAGATCAGTACTTGCAACACCAGGAGTACCAGATACTTTCGGAGCTTTCCAAAAGCGACTGCTTTCAGCGCATGGACGCCGCCCAACGCGAAGCCGTTGTCCGTAGCAAGGTGCAGATGTTAGTTTTGCCGGAGTATTTGAGCAGTTTCAGCGGCTTAAGCAACTCCCTGGCTGCCTTAAATCCCATAGCCGGAAGTCAATTGTACGATGCAATTGCACAGCAGGCAAAGAAGGATCAACAGCAGCAGCAGCAGATGTTTCCTGGCAGCGCTGATCAGCGTCCAGATGGCAACTTTTTGGACGCAAATGATTTTATAATGAATGCCCAATTAATGCATCAGCAAACCCAGGGGCAACAAAACCCACAGCCGCCGGTTCATCCGGATCAAGTGCAGCATCAATTTGTGTCTGATCTGGACACAAACAAAATAAATGAACTGCATGGCAACGATCTGGACATTCTTAACGAATATAACTTGCGAATGTTGCTACGCGGGACGTCGGCAGCTGTAGCCAGTCAGCAGCAGCAGCAACAACAGCCAGCTACGATAATTAAGCCAAGTTCGAATGTGGACTTCATGACCGAGTCGCAGCTATCAACCCCCATAAACCTTGTAATGCGGATGTGGCCTCAAAACGTGACACAACAACAACAGCAGCAGCAGCCAGCCCAGCCATGGCCCGCAATCCCCAACGCTAAAGTCACCTTGTGGGACGTTGCCACATTGGAAGAGGAGCAGAGCCAGCAGTTGTTGCTCCAGCAGCAGCAGCAGCAGCAAAAACGACATCTTTCGAGACCAGATAGCACCAACACCAACAGCGCCATCAATTTAGACTACGATGGAGCGCTAAAGCAGGGCCGTGAAAATCAGTGCAAGCCTGAGGGGGTAGGGGCATCTAATCTAATGCAAGTCGAACAGCAGGCGCCGACTCAAGACCAGCAGCCCTCAACTGTGGACAACATCGCCCCACATCACAAGGATCAACAAATAGGTCTGGCAACTGGTAAACAACAAGTCGTCAACAAACAGCTTCAACAGCAGCAGCAGCAGCAGCAGCTGCCACAGCCGCCGCCAAGTCAGAAGCAACAACAGCAACAGCAGGGAAAGCAGTTGGAACTGAAAATTAGCGATGAGGAGCGCCGCCGAGAGCAGACAGAGGAAAAGAGGCGTATAAAGGAGGAGCGGAAGCGCCAGCAACAAGAAGAGGAGAAAAGACGCGCCATGCTAGCGGAAGAGGAAAAGAATCGGCAACAACAAGAGGAAAAGGAGCGCCAGCAGCAAATACAAGCTCAACGCCGTAAGGCTTTGCTTGGCAATTCGCAAGCCACGGCCAGTACATCAGGTAAGAATTATAATTCCCTATTTAATTATTTTGAAAAAGCAGCACGCAACATTATGCAAATTATCTATACACAATTTAATTAATCGTAAGGTAGCTAAAGTTTTTTGACGCTAAGGCAGGGTTTTGGAAATTCCATGTCTAGATAAACTATTCTATCATTTGAAACTTGGCCCGGGCGTATCGGGATAGTTCCCAATAGTTCAATTTATTTAAAAGACCAATGCTTAAACTTAGAGTTATTCATATTTGACAAAGTTTGTTCTCTTTGGGTCCATGAAAAGGACATCTTGCAATTCCAGCAAATGTTTTATATTTTTTCCAAATTGATTAGAATTGAAACTATTTAAAATTCAGTTACAGTAATTAACAGTATGTAGTTTTAATAGTTTTGCCAACTCAATATGTTTTATTTGAGCCTCTAAACTGTTATATTATATTCTTGACAGCTTCACCTTCAGCTGCGACAGGCAACAAGGCAACAAGCGGCGGTAAGATAGAGCAGCAGGCAAATCGTTCTCATGGTACTTCAGTTGCCCCATGGTCCTTGCAAGCGCCAAGCGTAAATAGCGCTGCTCCAGGACTGGCCGAGATCCAGAAAGCTGAGCGGCGAGAACGGCGTGCCGATCAGCAACGGCAGCAGGAGCAGCTGGATAAGCAAATGCGTGCCACAGCAGCGGCAGCAGCCGAAGCAAATGATGCGCTCCTCAAATGGCAGGCGTCACCGGCTCCAGCGCCCGTTATGAATTTGGTCGACATACAGGCCGAGGAGGCCAAGCGCTTGGCTAATGAGCTGCTGGAGCAACAGCGCCGTCGGGAGCACGAGCAGCAGCAGCATCAGCAAGTTGCCCTTGCCACTAGCCTGTCCGTGTCGGGTGGCCTATCCAACATCTGGGGCAATACCAACAAGGCGTGGAGCGGACCAGTTAGCAATCAAACTAACCAAACTGCAACCAACACCGGGCTGTGGGATGATCAAACGCCCGCTCCTGCTCCGCCCAAATATGTAAACTTGGGCGCTACAACTGCCGCTTCTGTGCTTGCCGCCGGCTCGCCGGCGACCAGCAAGCAGCAATCTCACACGCAGGCCAAGCCAGTCGGCGGTATATTACCGTCACCGCGCAACTTGCGTAAGAGCCAAACATTGCCGACTATGCAAAATGTATTATCGAAAACTGCCAGAGCTGCCAGTGGTCAGAGCTCACAGCATCAGCAGCAGGAGAAAAATAATAAAGTGGCCCCCCCAACTAAGGCGACTCCCAAAATCTCGGGTAGCGAGGACAAAAAGTCCAACTCCAAGGTTCAGCCGCAGAGCAGCAGCAGCAGCGGCGACGCCTCAAGCAGCAAAGTTAACGAGTATGAGAATGAGTTTACCACATGGTGCATGAAGAGCCTGGACAACATGTCGGCCAAGGTGGATGGTAAGTAGGACACTGATTAAATAGATAACAATATATATATTTAAATAATTTGCCAAAATATTCATATGCATGCAGTACCAACGTTTGTGGCCTTTCTGCAAGACCTGGAAGCTCCCTACGAAGTGAAGGATTATGTACGCATATACCTAGGTATGTGCTACCTAAACATATATTTTATCACTAAGATCGCGTCTCAAATTTCTAATTTTCAATTATGTTCAGGGGAGGGCAAAGAGTCGACGGATTTTGCCAAGCAATTTTTGGAGCGACGTAGTAAATACAAAAGCCTGCAGCGTGCGCAAAACGCGCACAATGATGATATGTGTAAGCCGGCTCCGGCTATAACACCATCGTGTAATGATAACGGAGATAATAAGGTAATTGGTTTATTTGTTATTTATTTATAATACTCTTTTGTATATTTTGTTATTTATATTTATATATATTTACAGAATAAGCAGAAGAAAATCAAGAAAAATAAGATGACTAAAATGGATGCACGTATTCTTGGCTTCTCGGTAACCGCCGCGGAGGGTCGCATTAATGTTGGAGGACGCGACTATGTCGATGGACCATAACCTTGAGAACAGCTGTTAACAATTAAAGGAACGACGAAAGTTGTTAGATATAGGATTGAAATTGAATTTGAATTGAAAGACAGGTCACAACTGGATGTGGTAATAAATCTGTTATAAATAAATGCGTATGAAAAGAGCATATTTGTTTTGTGTAATACATACATGCTTATGCGTGTTTGTGCGTGCGTGCATATGTATGTATGTATGTGTGGGTGTATGTATGCATGCATGTTTGTTTTCTGATACCAAACGCAGACCAAGCTTATTTGTCGCGGTGCTGCAAATTTAAATAAAACGAACTATTATCAAGTGCTCTACTCCTCGATTCTCAAGAATTCAAGTAGGCTCTGCGGGCTTTCATGCTTAGCTTAGTAGTGTAGTGCTTTTTTTTGTTGTTTTTTTTTTGGTGTTTTTTTTGTGTGCATATGTACATGTACATTTATGTGTGTATTTATGTATGTGTGCATGTTTGCATATATACAAATAAACATGCATACATACATATGTATACAGACATACATATATATGCCGACATGCAAAAATGCAACATAAATACATGCACGTATACATGTGTATTTATGTGTCCATGCATGTAGGTATCCAAACATGCATATGCATACATGTATATACAAAAAAGCATATACATACATATATAAATGCAAACTTAAAACTTCTCCCAAAAATCGCATTTATACCCAGGAAGCTTGGATTCTGCGAAAAGTGTGTGTGTGTGTGTGTATAGATCCTTGGAAATGACCCCCATTTCCACCAAGGAGGGATGGACTTCTCAAAAGCTGTGAAAAACGCATCAGATGAAATTTCACTGAGATCTTTAAAAATGTTTTTGAAGCCGATCGGTTGGTAAGCAAAAAACATTCATACAATCGTTTTTATAACCTTTCAGAGGGTATTATAATTTTCTCGTGAAATGTGTAACGCGTAGAAGGAGCCATCTCCGACCCCATAAAGTATATGTACATATATTCCTGATCAGTAATAACAGCAGAGTCGATATAGCCATGTCCGACTGTCTGTTTCTCTGCTAACAGCTTTGGTTGTTATTTATTTAAAAAAAAAAACAATTTAATTGCCTTCCGCTTTTATCAAAAACTATTGCACAAACATATGTACATATGTATTCTATGCATACAACGGTATTTGTACATAAGTATGTATATGCGTGCGTATGTATAATTTCTGCCGTCGGCGCGATAACTCCATTCCGTTGCGTGCTAGCCGCGCTGTCGCGGTCCGCGCTTGCTGTTTACCCCGCAGTGAAGGCGGCGATTTGGGTTGGTCCTCTCGAGTTTCTTGTTTGCGTTTGCGCTTGGCGCCCAAATTGTTCACAGTTGTAACCGTATTGTGTATGTATGGAGGTGTGCGCGTGTATACATGGGCAAAAATCGTATGTATTTGTATTTGGCATCGAGCAGTACAGTGTTCGGTGCGAAAGTGATGCACGATGCGGCAACCCAGTAGGAAATTTGCAGACGAGAAGTTGTTCTAGGCTAATAGATTTCCAAGTGTTTAGGAAAACTTAGTTAATATACTCGTTCTTTATTCGTACGAAATTATGTACATATGCGTATTGTATCTATATATACAATACTATACAAAATAAAAAGTCCCTGTAAAAATGGATATTGTAAGCAATAACAATTGCAAATACAAAACCAAGTCCATGTTTCCAGCCGAATGATTGCGGAATTTTACATCGGGTGGGTAAACACAGCCCCGGGGCTGTTAGTCAAGCAGCAAGGAGATGGGGATAAAAATGAACAATGGTCGTCGCTTTGTCTCGGTGCTGGTGACATGTTCGCGCCTTTGTTGTTACTGTTATTATATGGTATTTTTCGACTGCATTAGTACACCCAAACTGTATACATTGCGCAATCCAATAAACAAATTAACAACTTTTGTCCTCTTCCACTCGAGTGTCAAATAATTTAACACAGCATTACCCTAAAATACAACACGAAATAGTACTAACAACATCTGTATATACGAAGATATTATACTCTTATTAATACAAACTTAAATATATACTTCAAATCATATAATAAACAAAATTTTTTTTTTTAGCAAGTGGTCAACATCTAAATACGTACAATGTAATTATATGCAAATGTAGAATTGGTTGGTCTAATTTTGTATTAACTAATCGACCGACTCCTTGTATTATGTAGTACTATTGTATTTTATGTAACAAATTCTATCCATTATATAATCTTTACATTTAGGTAAAATGTTATCAACTTTTGACTACCTCATATATAATATGTGCATCCAATTAATTGGCTAAAAATGAAATGATTTTATAAATTAATCTTTTATGAGCCTTACTAATTAAATCATATGTTGTCTCAAAGTAAAAGACTATCAGAATGTTTTGTTGTACATTTGATTTCTCTAAGTAACTGGAACAGATTGTTATTTGGTACATATACAAATACATATTAAAATTTCACGAAAATCTGACAGGGAACATGAAAGTTATTTAAATATTAATCTCCAGTAGTATTGTGCATACTTCATCTTTAAGTACCCTGCATAAGCATTTTGGAATTAATATTGGGCTAAATTTTATATATTTGCTGAGGTGGAGGAGATTTTATAGCCGAGAAGTAATGAGCTTCTAAATATAATATGGTACCGTTATAAGGAATAGCAAAATATGTTGTGGAGTGACATACCTCATGTTAAAGTTGGAAAACCCTCAGAAGAGAGAGCATTAAAATATAAACGTAGACAGGCATACAGATTGGGCAAAACGGCTATTACCCGTACTTGCTATTGCTGCAATTTTTGACTTTTTTCTTTGACTAGCGCGTTGTTGCATACTTGAATTGATTTAGACATTTTAATACGCTGAGCCTATTGAAAATATGTTAAAAGAATATAATGGCTTTAGCTTTTGCTTCCCAGTAAAATGTATGTATATATGTGCAATGTCCATCTGTCCGTATGTAATAACGCATTGATCTTAGAGAGTTTAATATCTAGGAACTTGAAATGTGGAACGTAGCTTCTGCCAGTGCTCGCCATGTAATAGTTTGCTTCAAATTGTCGAAATATTACCCTGTTTTTTATTTAATTGATAAGAATCTATGTCTAAATGTTGTTTTTTTTTATAAGTTTATAAGAGATACCAAACTTGGTATGCACGCTCTCGTATAGCGTACGCAAATATCACGAATTTTTAAATTTTTGAATACCTCACTCCCTTACAAATCAGAAAAGTTGTATGTAACAATTTGCTATTAATTTTCTTCTCTTTCCAAAACTCATATTATATTACAACTTGCAGGTATACCCTGGCCTGGCTCGTGGTACGTATACAAAAAATGCTCTAAAAGATCTTTAAAAATGAGTTTGAAAGTCAATTTACCAATTTATCAACTTATATATAGAGATATAGCTGGAGCTATGAGTTAATTGTGTAACGCATAGGAGGAGACATCTCCGACCCCATAAAGAATATATATTTTTGATCAGTATCAACAGCAGAGTCGATCTAGCCATGTCCGTCTGTCCATCTGTCCGTGTGTCTGCTTCTATGCGAACTAGTCTCTCTGATTTAAGGATATAGCCAGTACATATGTCGGAACCGGCTGGATTGGACCACTATATAATATAGCTGCCATAGGAGTTAACTATTTCCTTGCGCTTCTTAGATACGAGCAAAGCAATATAAGCATTATGAAAAGGTTGGGTCTGCAATGGTATTAAATCTTCGGTGTGTCGAATAAAGCCCTTCTAACTCGATTTAATTTGGTAAAGGGGATTTTGCATTTGGTAAAGGGAGAAGAAGGTTCAGGTAACTAGATCACTCTATACCTGTGTCAGATAATTTATCGAGTGCCAATTGGCGAAACTGTTTAAATTGAATTTGGAAAGAATACTACTGAATATCTGTTTTAAAGACGAGAACGCAACTTGCTTGAATATTTTGGGTGAACTTAAAGAAGCACACATATGCAAGTAAGCTCTATTCTATAAGCACATTCGACATGGTCAGCGATCGTCCCGGCTTGGAACGGAGAAATACATAATTCGTATCATTGCCACAATAAAAGCGTTTTTATTGTTGGTAAATTGAATCATCAATTGAGTTAAGTGTACATCAATTCGACGTTACGGCGACAGATGTTGAGGCTGGCTGCAGCAGAAGCAGCATCACAGATGTAACCAGATACCTGCAAATTATCTGATTGAGCTGGTTATTCTCGCCTAAGGAGGGTGGACGACTAGCTGGTGGTAGTTGCTAACAATGCATAAACTCCTCCATTTCCCCCCAGTTTTCTAAATTTTTCGCACTCTAAAGCAAACACAACACTTGGCGTTGACTTCCCCTTCCAGCATGCCAGGTCACCCTCTAAAATTACATTTATATTCAATTAATGGCTTCATATTCAAACAGAAAATGCAATATTACATTCGATGGTAATAACCCGAGTTTGGGTAATAGCTCATACCTTTTATTTTGAAACTAATTTGAAATCATCATTTCCATCTCGTATCTGCTGCTGGGATACCGGGAATTCACTAAAAGTCAAATATTAGATAAATAAAGAGGGTGTAGTACAACTTGCAGACTTATGAAGAGATATATATTCGATTAATCAATATAGAATTGAATCTGTACAGAAACAATTATTGTTATTGCCTTACGTGGTTTAATCTGGAATCCTTGTGTTTGGTTGCCAACATACTCTAGTAGACTCCTGGTGATAAGTCTCCCCACTTTAATTAATTGTAGAATTACTTACGCCTTGGGGTACTAAGCTAATCATGGGCGAAATCGACTCCCCACTGGGTTGAATAGCCAAATAACCTTTTCTGTCCCAACTAGACGTAGTTTTATATTATGCTTTGGATCGTTCCGGGGGTAATCTGATCGGAGCCTTCTTTTTCGATTTAAAACTATTTAGCAAGTAGATTGTCTTAAATTGTATTAGTTATATTACTTTGCGACTTGTGTCGTACATAACACATTTATAGTTCTTGCTCAATGTTTTCACGGGTATTTATCATGTACTATGTATCCTTCAACACTCTCAAGATAATTGTTATTTTTTGGTTTCTGATTTTGAATATACTCATACAATAATGTCATTTATATACATATATTTTTGCACACATATACATAGTTGATGTAACAAGTAGCCGTAATGCGCGCAAATTGTTTGAAAATCACCAACTCCAGGGAATTCCCTTTCATAACGAGCTTAAGTTGAATGTACATATGTATATATAAATATACTATAGGACAAGTGGGTGAATAAGGGTAGTTAGTTTATGTAGCCTTTTCTTGCTCATTTGCTTGGAGCCAGCAAGAAGACAAAAATGTACAAAACTCGCCGACGGGAAATTGTTAAACGGTATTTAAACATAACAAGCAGCACGAGGGCTGGGTCTGGGACTACGACTTTGTCTGGAGCGGGATGGCTAATCCCAGGGCGCACGCACACAACAGGAAGCAACCACAAAATTTGTTATTTCAAGAGCAACAGCAAGCGCGACGACAGCAGCCATGCAAGGATAACTCCAACAATGAGGCGGATCAACGCGACGTTAAGAAAGGCAGCTCTAATGAAATAAATAGAACACGAGCTATGTCCGGGGGAATTGGGAAAGGAATTGAATCGACAAATATGGATGATATCGCACATACCTTATATATGGTCTGCTCCGGAATTAAACTGGTTGCTTATCATATTTCGGCCAATTCGATGTTTTGTTTGTTTTTCAAAGGCGTAGATATCATTCTTTTATTATGTAGCTACCTTAATGTAATGATGTATTTAGGTTGACTAGCAACTGGTACAACTTAATCCGTTTATTGAAAATAACACAGACCA